ACTACAGAAGGATTACAAAAAACTGACAGGAGCTAAATGCGTGGACCATTCTGAATCAATTTATGATATAACCAGAGTCAGGTATAAATTCCACAGGTGTATGAAACTGTACATGGAATAATGGGGTTGCAAGAGACATTATAAATGTCAATTGTCCGTTGTAACCACTACTTATTCAAGAAAACGAACACAAATGCCATCCATACATTAAGATTATGATTAGAAGTTAAACTCACCCGAAAAGGATAATTACCAAAATCAATTGTCCCATGTGAATCGCACGGCAAGGAAACTTGAGAAACTCGGGGATCCTGAGTAGGATATGATGTACCAAGCGTCCTTGAAGCTTGGCTTATATTCTGTGTTAAAACACATACCTGTGTAGTAAAATATTTATATATTAATGAGATTCAAGAAATAGAAAGTGTTTTTAAGTTTGTGTGTGTGTGTGTGTGTGTGCAGTGTAGAAAAGGTGGGAATCTACAACACACTTGCTCCTCATGCTGAATGCAAGGCACCAAATATAACTGTGTTGCACTACCATATTCAAGACAAAGCTCATCACTTGTTCCAATGCCATTCTCGTTTACAGTAGCAATATATGGCCTATCAAGGGCAAGCAAGCTACCAACACTGTTGAAATGGGAACTGTTATGTTGATATAATCATATAAGAATATTCCTGAATAACTAATATCAACTTAAAAGACTCACCTTAAAAGATTGGCTAGTATCACCTGTTCACCCCATAAGAGAAACTTTAGCTTGAAACCATCATTATCAAGAAGACTAATTTGTATCATCTGTAAGCCGTTAGTCTTCTCATGAATTTCTATTGGACCAATAGACTCAATCCTGAAAATATTGAATATAAGACAACTATATTTAGTTCATTATTGGACAAATCCACCCTCTGTGAAAACTGATTTATTTGGTCAATTCAGCCTCTAGCTCATTGCAGGATAAGAAACCAGTTTAGATGGAGATGGATAAAACTGAAGCAAAAGTTGTATATCTTGCCTTGCATATAATGAATATGCAGTCCCTTTATTGACGGCGTCAAGAGAAACAGAAGAAAAGGAATCGGAACAAAATTGAGCTCCTAGAAGTATTACATCATCATCCTCTTCCTACAATAAATAGAAGATAGTCACTGTGCATATGCAAAAAAAAAAAATTATAATATTGATTCTGGTAGCTAGAAAAGCCATTTTGACAACCTCATCTAACAATATGATAAGGTATTCAGTTGGTAGAAGTCGTGGATGACCGGATCCGCCACTGGCAGCACGAAGATAGCATCCAGTTAAAAATATTTGCCTCCCTTTTTTCAAAATTCCACCAACTAAGTCATAGAATCTGCCATCAAAGATTCATGTTTTACTTGTTCTTCCATGAAATATGAAGATAGCAAGTTCTGTGCAGTTGTAGAGTCGTAACAAAACCTCAAATCAAGATGAAACTATGGAAATGGAAGTCGATATTTAGGGATAAAAACTAAAAATAAATAAATTAATTAATTAATTAAAAAAAAATGAAGTGATTCGGGCATGCTTTAATGTCAATCTGCAATACAAAATCAAGCATTCATATCCAGCAACTGTATCATTGGATTCACAACCTTAGTTAAATAAGGATTTGTTCTATGAGTTGTACAACTGTATCCTTGAGTTCTAAAAAACTTACTATTCAAACCAATCAATCAATTTTTATTCAATGTACCAATTGTTGAGTGTGGTCCATTGATCCTTCAAATGTACCAATAGACGAGTTAGTCTCTCTCATTTCTTTGATCCAATCAATCAATTTCTATTCAAATGTACCAATTCATGAGTGTGGTCTATTGGTCTACTGATCCTTCAAGTATCTGCAATAGCTTGTCTTGGTACATTCAGTTGGTTTCATCTCCTTCTGTGCTTTCTATTTCTCTAAACCATGGAGGCTAAGAATTCCAAAAAAAGAAAAAGATAAATTATTGGTTTGTGGCTCAGGAGAGAATCAACATCTTATACCTCAGCATGAAAGCCTCTCCTCTTGTCCTTGGTTTGAATTGGCGTGTCGGGTACAAGTGCAATGCAAAAGATCTTAATCGCTTACTGTGACTATACCCACCTGCTTTTGAGTCATGGGTTGTATGTAGCAGACATCTGATATTTTTGTTATTCAGAGGTCACGCATTCAATGGACGATGAGGTCATTTTGAATTCTTTGTTCAAGGAGAAAGGTAATTTGCTTTGGCAAGCTAATTTTGTTCATCATTTATGGCATATTTGGGTGGAAAGAAACCAATAACTTTCATGGGGTTAGATAACTTGTAGGAGGAGATGTGGGGTTTTGTGCATGTTAACGTTTTTTTTTTTTTTTTGGGTTCATACTACAGTTTTCTTTCTTTTCTTTTTTTTTTTTGCAATTACCCTTTTTATCAACAGCAGCTGAGGGTTCTCTTTAATAAACATTTTCTTGTGTTCCTCACTTTTAGCTGGCCTTCATTTTTCTTTGATGGATTTTTTGTGTTCATTTTTCAAATGCAAGCTGGTTTGTTCAAACTAATGTGGCACAAAAAGAGTGCAGTGCAGTAATACCACTGAAAGGATCTTCTAATTAAGCAAACAAATGGCCATTCAGAATACATTCATTCCAAATGGCCATTCAGAATACATTCATTCCAAATGGTTTTTATTGCATGATAAATAGATCTGAAGGGTAGCAGTATTACCTACAATGGAGATAGAGATCAATCGTATTAGAGCTCCAAAAATCCCCCAAAGTAAGCATGTGTATATTTGTACCTTAAGAAAATCATGTTGATAAAAGATTCAGATCCTTGTTTGTATAATGACATCTAAACAGTCGAACTAGGGAAACAACACCTGAACTTAAGTAGTTCCAAAAAAATTAAAAAAAAACAAACAAACAAACAAACGAAGGTCGTCCCAAAGAAAGATATATCTATATATTATTGAGTAAATTAACTAGCACTATGAATATGTGTGTTTCAGTTTCAGAAACCCTTTCCTCAAGCTACCAATATATTAGCTTTTTAGTCATGTATAATTGATTTGGAAGAGCAACAAGAACATTGCTAAAATTACAATCATCAGCTTAAAATGGGAGATAGAAGTACCTGGAAGAATAAATTCTTCAACAATAACAGCTTCCAAAACGCTGCTTAAAGATAGGAAATTCTTCTCATATATGGAGTCAATAGTAACTGTTTTCGGGAGCTTCTTTCTTCTATTCTTCTTCTTCAACTGATTAATACATTCAGGTATTTTCTTGGGAGCCCCAATTCTGTGTTGCTCAGACCAGGCCTTCAAAACAAAAATCACTACCCAAATAACTGTCTTGTAGAATAGAACTGTGAAAGGTTAATTTATATCATCTTAGTTGGTAACAAGAAGTGGAACCGGTATTTTTTTTTTTTAAGAAACATCAGAAGTGAAACTAATCATTGTTTATATAAACCATTTAGTTACTGTTCTTTTTCAGACTTACTCAAGTTGCACAATATCTATCAACTACTGTACTTTGTCTTCTCCATCTAAATCAGGCACAAACTTTGACCCCTTACCATAAGGGTTAGGTGTAGTTGTTCAAGGGTATAGATAACTTTGCCTGGTTTTACCAATCATTCAGCTTATTAGCTCTCTCCAAGATACCACGTTATGCACCATGTTTTACCTCAACTAAACCACTTTTTTTCCATACCATCTCTTATCAAAATTTCAGGGGTTATACCAACTCCCACCACAAGGAAACCTTATGAATCAGGTTACGTCAGCGTAAACAATTTTATGCTTTGGAAAACAATGTATTCTTCCTAAGCTAACGAGTTACAATTTAGGGGCACTTGACAGGAGGGATAAGGAAGTCCAGAATGCATTTTCCGCCTAGAGAAGAAACGTATGCCTTCATCACCCGTGGATTTCTTGTTTCCAATCTAGACTACGAAGCTTGGGACGGAACCAAACATTTCTCACTTGGATAATTGCGTAATTGACTGTTGAAATAGCCTTTCAGCTGATGAGATACTGAATTGAAAGGAACATTGGGAGGACACTAAAAAGCTGTGTGGGGTAAGGGTGCAATCTAGATCACTCGAGGTTGGCCCACATGGTGATGCCTAATACTTCAGAAAACCAATAGAACTACAATTGGATCATGAAATCTTAAGGAGAGATCGACTTCAAAACCTAGAAGCAAGCCATGAACATCGAGTATTCATCCCTACATTCAACATTTCAGGTAGTCCTCACTTTGAAGTTACTATAGGAAAGTCAGGCAATTAATAACACTTCTTCATTTGATTGCTCAAAGTTTCCCTACAATCGAAATAATTAACCTTAATGAAGTTTGAATTCACAGTACCTGCGAGAGCTCGGATAGCAAAATCGCAGGGGTAACAGAACTGGAGTAGGCGATACAAGTTCTGAGAACCCGAGAGGCGATCCAACTCCAACCTGGCGTATAGGTCTCTGTTCCTTTAACATTAGGATCGAAGTCTTCTTCGTCTTCAAATGCTAGCACAGACCTCGCATAATCGATAAATTTAAGAAACGGATCATCATCTTCTTCTTCCTGAAGCCGCCGGCGATCGTTCAACTCCATGGCCGAGTTTCCACCGGCCTCGTCCGATTTGAAATGTCGACCCCGAGAAGAAGACATTCTTTGAGTATCATCGACTTCGAGTCAAGCTCACGTCCAGATTAAGCCATTTCTACGCCCTATATTTGAGGTTCATTTTCAGCGGGAAGATGATTGCCAAATTTGCGCGGTTTTCCAATGCTTACACAGTGACGCCATTTTTTAATAAGAAACTCAATTTTTTATATAGATTGGTTATTTAATTATTTTTTTTAACAAAAATAAAATATTAATGTTAAAAGACATATATTCATTTATTTTTCAAACTTGAATGATGGTTTATAACTATTTATGTTTAGATAATTGGAGCGTAAGAATTCAAACTCACCCCTCCTAGGCACTGATCTCACTATTCACTTCCTTATAGGACATCCAAAAAAATTGGAACGATACAAAAAAGATTAGCACGGCCCCTACGCAAGGAGGACACACACAAGAAAGGATATCATAGCCGTACCGGGTAGAGTACTAACGAGGACGTTGGGCCCCTAAGGGAGTGGATTGTGAGATCACATATCGGTTGGAGAATGAAACGAAACCTTATTTATAATGGTGTAGAATCGTTTTCTTAGCAAACGCATTTTAAAATCTTGAGAAGAAGCCCGAAATGGAAAACCCAAAGAAGTGTATAAGAAAGATCATCGATCATCGAGAATTAAACAGACATCATCAAGAATTATAAACTTACAAAGTTATTTACATTATGGCTTCTTTTAGACATGTAGAACTCCATCAAAGAAGTGTTTTCTTCCTTGATCCTTGCAGCTATAATAACAACTTTATGAATGAGGGAAGCTTAGACTTACAAAACATTTGTTCCATTAAGAACCTTGTTTTCTCTGGAATGAACTATAAGATCGATCCTCAAGTAGATGAAGATGCTGTTCTTTGGCTCTGTGGAACAGCCATCTCTGGTCTGTTTTCTGATCTCATTTGACTTCTTTGATACTTAAATCTTTTGGGTTGAGCTGTTTCGAGTTGAATTTCGAGTTTCGACGTGTCTATCGACAACTTTTTCATCATAAAGGCATCCAAATCAAACCCAGTTTCACTGTCAGCCACACTAGAGGAGGCAGCTGAGTCGTCTAAAGAGCTGCTTCTAGCGCCTCCATCTGCTACTCTTGACATGGCGAAGGGGTCTTGCTCCAGCTTCAACAGCCTCTTTATGCTATCAAGTGCTGGGTCAATAACGTCTAAGATCCCCATAACCCACGAAGCATCGTCCACAACTTCTGTTCTCTGTTGCAACACAGCCTTCATTTACTACCAATGGTTCAGAAAAACTAACTCAAATTTCAAAAAATTAAGGTTCTGACCTGCTGGAAGTATAGATTTCGAATTTCCTCCGCTCGGATTGCGTTCCCTTGATCATCTTCCAGTGCTGCCCAGGTCATCCATGTTACATAACTCTGAGAGTTTATGCTTAGAGAGGATCTATATAATCTTCTAGCTGCTGATAGGTTGCCTGCTCTCTGTTCTAGAACACCCCAAGCCTGTATTAAAGCAATCAAAGTAAGTAATATTTTGATTCCAAGCCTGAATTAAAAGTTCTCGAACTTTGATAACAAAATTAGTACATAACTCCAACAAGTATTCCTATCACTTTCTACTTCCTTCTACCATTCATCCATCTTGTGTCTGTCCGTACGGCCAAAGCCCACTGCTAGTCCATTTTGGTCTGTTATGTATCGCCATCAACTTTACGGTTTTAAAGCGTGTTTGCTAGGGAAAGGTTTTCACACCCTTATAAGGAATGTTTCGTTCCCCTCTCCAACCGATGTGGGATCTCACAATCCACCCTCCTTGGGGACCAGTGTCCTTGCTGGCACACTATCCAGTAATCTGGTTCTGATACCATTTGTAACAATCCAAACCCACTGCTAATAGATATTGTCCGCATTGGCCTATTACATATCGCTGTTAGCCTTACGGTTTTAAAACGCGTCTCTCACAATCCACCCCCTTGGGGGTCCAGCGTCTTTGTTGGCACACCGCCCAAAGAGGACAATATCTGCTAGTGGTGCGCTTGAACTGTTACAAATGGTATCAGAACCAGGTTTCAGACCATGTGCCAATGAGGTTACTGGGCCTCCAAGTAGGATGGACTGTGAGATCGCACATTGGTTGGAGAGGGGAACGAAGGATTCTTTATAAGAGTATGAAAACCTCTCCCTAACAAACGTATTTTAAAACTACGAGGCTAACAACGATATGTACTTGGGCTGTTACAAATAGAATCAAAGCCAGTCACCAGACAATGCGAAGCACTGGTCAAAGTAGGGCTAGATCCTATCCATAGTAAACGCATTTAAAATTTTTGAAGGGAAGTCCGAGAGGGAAAGCCCAAAGAGGACAATCTACTAATGGTGAGACCGTTACAATGTCAAAATCGGCCTGCTTTGGCCAACAATCCAAATTTTGAAACCAAATTTATAATTCAACAACTAGCATTTGTCTACCTGAAGGCATCGAGCTGCACTCTCACTAGCTGAGTCAATCAACAATGCTCTTTGATACAGCTCCCTTGCTTTCCCTATGTTACCTTCTTTCCATTCCATCCATCCCCAAGCCTGCATAAGCCATGGTTTAAGTTTTGTCAAGAAAAATGGAACCCCAACAAAAGATCTGATCAGAGTTTGAGTGGAAAATCCTTCTACAAGGGAATGGATATTAACATACAATCCACACTGGTTGGTGCTTGGGGTCCAGTTCAGATGCTCTCCTAAACAAAACTCGAGCCATGCTTGCAGAGGAGTTCTTATACTCTAATAAACCAAGAGACTGAAGAAGAACAGGGTCTCTTGGATTTAGGACATGGCCTATCTTTAAAAGTTTCCTTCCCTTCTCGATATTTCCTATATTAGCTTCAAAGAGCCCCCATATGTGCCACGCAAATCTGTTCTTGGGGCTCGCCTGGATGGCTTTCTAGGTAACAAAGAAACAAATGAACTTGTTAATGAGGAAAATGAAAGGATCTACTAAGAGCTCATCAACAGTTAAACAAGAAAAGGGAAATCAAAATCACCTCAAACAGTTGTCTAGCAAGAAGATTGTTCTCCCGCTGCATCTCCAGCTGCGCCCATGCCTGCCATACCATGATCATGTCCAAATTACTGAGGGGATTTGGGAGATGAAAGTAATGATCAAATTTCAAAACAGAATCAGGGCAATGGAAAATGGGGTGTAAAAGAACTTACAAGCCAACTAGCACAGCTTTTGGGGTTGCACTTGGTAGCCTGCTTAAACAAATAACGCGCTTGCTCGTAGCGATTCGATTTGGCTTCGAGCAGGGCGAGTGTTTGATAGATATACTCATTCCCACCACAGTATTTGAGGCCTTTGGCTAGTAGATTCCTGGCCTTCTTGAGGTTCCCCTGCTTTAGCTCTAGCACAGCCCAGCCATGCCATGCGGCAATGTGCTTCTTGTTGGCTACTGTGGCTGCATCAAAGAGCTCTCTTGCTTTCCTGATATTCCCCATCCTGCTCTCCAGAACAGCCCAGCACTATATCAAGTGTGCAATTAGTGGCTAAAATTTGAGAAGATGAAACATAAACCTGTTTCCAAATATTTCATGATAGCCCAATTCAGCTTGTTTTTTTTGGTCTATCAAGGGGTGTAAGCGGGTCGGTTTCGGTAGGTTTCTTTGACCAAAACTGCTAATGAATTGGTGTATCAGTTAACACAAAATGATTTTTTTTTTCACACTCCACTCTACTCTACTCTCTGCTTCAAGAAACGACAAGGGTTTTAAGTCGTAAGTTTAGCATATAACCGATTGAGGATTCTTGAGAGGGAGTTCCACATTAGCTATATTAAGAGGATGATCAGGAATACATTTCCATTAGCCTGAGATCTTTTGGGGAAACTAAAAGCAAATCCATGAGAGCGTGTGCTCAAAATGGACAATATCATACCATCGTGGGAGTCCGTAATTCCTAACATGATATCATAGTCATGTCAATAGAATCCTCAAATGTCGAACAAAGGGTGTACTTTGTTCGAGGGCTCCAGAGAAAGGAGAGGTTCTATGGTGTATTTTGTTCAAGGGAGGATGGTTGGGAGGGAGTCCCACCTTGGCTAATTAAGAAAACGATCCTGAGTTTATCTGTAAGGAATACATCTCCATTGATATGATGCCTTTTGGAGAAACCAAAAGTAAAACTACGGGAGCTTATGCTCGAAGTGGATAATATGATACAATTGTAGAGAGTGGTGGTTCCTAACATAACCTTGAATCAAGAGCTTGGAACATATGTCCAAATTGTTACTACGAAGCTATAAAATGCGCTTAAAATAAGCTATAAAAAAAATAATAATAAATAAATAAATAACTTTAGGCTCATAAAAGGCAGGATTCAAACTGACCTGCCAAATGTAGGAGTTCTCGCCTTGGGTGGCTTGGCAGCCTCTCTCATACACAGCTCTGGCGTCGGCGGCTTTCATTTGCTTGCTCAACATCTTCCCCAATGCTACGTATGCCCGCCCATCCTCCGGCCATTTATCTATACACTTTCCCAACCAAATCACGCGCTAAATTCAGCCCCAATATTTTGTTATAAAAAAATGCTTCTAAATAGTTGAAAGTACTTTTTGAATTTCATGTATAATAGAACCAAAAACTAAATTTGGGAAGTTACGAAGGTTTAAAATTAATTAAGGAATCCTAAATTTCTGAGAGAAAAATACCTTCTGAAGGACTTGCCGTGCTTCATCATACAGAAAATTCCTCGCCATCATCTTCGCTTTGTACAACGCCAAATCCAAATTGATAATCAGCGGCCTTTCTAGGGCACTCGAATCCACCCGATTCTCCGGTTCAAATATCGGCATCTTCTTCGCAATCTCCGCTAGCCCTAGTTCTATCACCGAAGAACTCCTCTCATCTTCCGCCTCCTCGCCGTCGCCGGAATCTTCACCGGTAAACTCCATTACCGGCCGCCGAACTCTAAGAACCTCCTCCGACGCCTCTCTGTTCTCGCCGTCCAACGAAAGATCGGAGGAGAGAACCGCCGTCGAGGACTCCCTCGAAGAACAGCAAACGGAGAGGGAACTCGGAGCGAAATGGAGAGATATAATCAAATTTTTGCATCTGTATTTCGAGAGATTGTTCGGATTTTGAGATGAAGAGAACAGATTGAAGCTTGTGGTTGAAGGAGATGAAGAGAAGACTTGCATTTTTTTTTCTTTTTTTCTCTCTGGATTTGTTCAACGGATTCAGCTGTGTGATTTTGCTTTCGTAGGTGCTCTGGAGAAGAAGAAGAACGATGGGAAATTACGTTTCTGCCCTTCACGTAGTACCGTCTGTACACCTTTCTAAAGTGGAAGACTTGAAAGGGTATATTCGGGATTCTGGTGGCTAAAATGTGACTGGTGTGAGTTTGTCCACGTGGCAGTTAGTGGAGTGGCTGTGCACTTTGATCCTTTGAGGTAGATTTTATACCACGTGGAGGAATTTTGTTGGTTGATTTTGTGGATATTTGATATTCTGCAGATAAATATCCGATACCGAGTTGGGAGCGATTCTTCGAAAAAGCTGGCACTGAGTCACCATCGAGTCAATGAAATTCTTGCATACGTGGCATTGTCTCCTTATCTTATTGCCTTTCCTTTTTTTTAAATCCAAACTAAAATTTTAAAATTAAGACCAATTTCGTGACTATTTTATTTTTAAAAATTTTGTTAACTTTTCTTGTCGTTTCTCCATAATATATATTTTTATTTATTTATTTTTAAAATAATTGAACTCTTAATTAAAGTCTAAAAATAAAAATAAAAAACAAGTTTTTTATTTTCTTAGTTGTCAAATTTTAGATTAAATTTTAAAATATATATATATAATAGATAATAGAATAATTAAACAAATTCATAGAAATAGTATTTTTAAGCTTAATTTAAAAAAAAAAACAACAAAATAGTTATAATAAAACTTATTAAAATAGTTTTTGGAGAAACCCAACTCCCATAGGTATGATATTCTCCACTTTAAGTATAAGCTCGAGTGATTTTGTTTTCGCCTCCTCCAAAAGGTCTCGCACCAATGGAAATAGTATTCATTGATTATAAATCCATAATCATTCCCTAAATTAGTCGACGTGGGACTTTCATCCAACACATCTCCTCGAACAAAGTAAGTCTCCCCTTAATCGAACCAAGCTCTTTTTATCTCTACTAAATTGACGTTTTTTTTTACGTTGAACTAAGCTCGAATCAAGAAAAAAAAATCCACTCTGTCTCTACTAAATCGATGCTTTTTAAAGTCAACCAAGTTCGGATCCTTAACCGAGGTCATATAAGCTTAGCGAATCTCTCATTTTGTCATTTAATTTGTATTATTTTAGAGAGAGAGAGAGGAGAGATAAAAGGTGACAAAACAAAAAACGCCAAAAGTAAAGCCAAATTATGCACTTAAACAATTGAAAACAGAGCACTTGAAAAAGAAGTAGAAGTGAACAAACAGATTTTCCAAAGCATCAAATGATCAAACCAGAGGAATATTCACCAAAAAAGAGAACAAAAAATTGAATGATAAACAAACAAACAAGCAAACAAACCTTCCATCTTCAATTTCAGATCGATCAAATCAATGGCGATTTCAAATCTCCTCACCTTCACAAACTCCCTCCTCCTCGTGATCCTCGCGATCCTCTGCTCCAATGGCTTCCCGAACCTCTTCAAGCCCCAATCGAACCAGACGAACATCGTAATCTACGTCCACGACTACTTCACCGGAGAAGACGCATCGGCGATCGCAGTCGGCGGCAGAAAAGGATCGGAATCGAACGTTCTGGAGTTCGGAACTCTAATCGTGGTCGACGATCCGGTGACGGAAGGGCCGAGGATCGAATCGAGAGAGATCGGAAGGGCTCAAGGTATGTACATAAACTCCCAATCGGACGGGAAAGGGCTGTATATGGTGTTCTCGGTGATTTTCACCGGCGGCGAGTTCAGAGGGAGTAGTTTGGAGATTCAGGGCTCGGATTTGTTCACGTTGAAGGAAAGGGAATTTGGAGTGGTTTCCGGAACCGGTTTTTTCCGGTTCGTTAAGGGGTTTGGGATTATGCAAACCGAGAATATGGATTTGGTTCATTTGAGAGCTGTTATTAAGCTCAATATTACAGTAAAACACTATTGACTGAGCTATGTTCGTATCTCTTTCTTTCCTTCGAATTTTATTAAAAAAATTATTTTAATTTATGGAGTTTTATTAAGATATGATATTTAGATAATATATTTTAATAATTAGTTAGGTAGTATATTTTAGATATCCGTTAGTATTTTTTTTATTTGTTAAAGTTGTTAGAGTATATTTTATCCTAGATTTGATTATCGGTATATTTTATCTTATTTACAAGATTTATTTAATTATATATTTCCCCTCGTTTTTATTTATTAGTCGATAGTTTGTATCCTATTTAAACGGTTGTAAATGAAGATCAGACTTTCGATCTTATTTCTATTTCTATATTTCGTTCTTAACGGGTTTGAATAATTATTCTTATGGTTCATAAGCTAAGTTATCGATTGATTAATACAAAATGATAATGAATTTAATTTTTTAAATCATGTATAATTTTTTATTATTATTTTAAGCTCCGTTACTCAAAATAAGTGTTTATTTATTTATTTTTATATATGAGTTAGTTTGGTTTGCTCGACACTCGAAATGATAGTTTTACTAATATCAAATTATTATAAAAGACGATTACAAAACACTATAAATAAATAAAATTTTATTTTCTATTTAAAATATTCGATACCGTCTACTCATTGTTAGGGGTTTATCGTAGTGGTCGATAGTGGGCTGTAATTATCGGAATAGTAAATTGAACCTTAAATATTTAAAATCAAAATGTAATAAAAATATATTAAAATATTTTGTTAGACAATTTTTTTAATATATTTATATTAAACATTAGAATAAAATAAAATATAATTTAATTATAAATTTAGTTGTTATACTTATAAAACCATATAATAATTAAATGAGTTAAAATTTCAATTTTATTTATTGACATTTTTAACCTTTAAATTAAAATTTTTATAAAACTATTTATGATAACTTTATTAGCAAAAGTTGAAGCTTATAATTTAAGCCAAAAAGAAATTTAGTTCAATTTTTAAAGAATAAAAGTGGAATTTAAAAAGCTGTTAATTATTACCAGATTTTCTCTTTAATCTCAGTTATATATATTATAAATAAATAATAAAATAAAATAAACACCGACTTTCAGCTTCCATGGATTTCACAAGCACACAGCTCTGTTGATGAACAGACAAGCGAGAGAAGCCACAGAGAGAATGGAGAGAGAGAAAGCAGCCGAGAAGAAAAAGAGTCCTCGAAGAACAAATTAGGATTTTCTTCTCCTTTTTCGGAATATATATATATATATATCTATATATGTATGTATGTATTTCAAATACTGAAACAACACTCCGGTTTTGCTAGTTCGTTCTTTTACGTACGACTGAAAGCTCTCAATTCGTCGAGTTTTTTTTTAAGCACCTAGTGATGAGAGTTTTGTTGTTTTCATTTATATGAACTGATTTTGATTTTGTGAATTTTGATCTCTCGTTCTTCGTCGGAGAATCGTGCTTTCTCAGCTCCGGCGCCCCTGTGTACTGAATTGAGTATCCATGGTTAGGATTTGAGGAATTTGTGAAAGTTAGTGGAAGTAAATCGTCGTCTGAAAAATGGTTTCGAGTAATCGGGGGACGAATTCGCATCAGCAACAAGCAGAGTCCTCGAACACGAACACGAACACGAGCCATATGCGATCTAATCGTACAGAATCCATCAGCAAAGCCGTAGCGCAGTACACCATCGATGCTCGTCTTCACGCAGTGTTTGAACAGTCAGGTGAGTCCGGTAAATCTTTTGACTACTCACAATCTATTAGAACTTCGACACAATCTGTGCCGGAGCAGCAAATTACGGCTTATTTATCGATGATTCAAAGGGGCGGCCATATCCAGCCCTTTGGATGTATGATAGCTATCGATGAGGAAAATTTTCGGGTTATTGCTTATAGTGAAAACACTAGGGAATTGCTTGGTCTTACTCCTCAATCAGTGCCAAATCTTGAAAAGATAGAGATTCTCACAATTGGAACTGATGTACGGAACTTGTTCACTTCCAATAGTGCAATTTTGCTTGAGAAAGCATTTGGGGCTCGAGAAATCACTTTGTTAAACCCTGTTTGGATTCATTCTAAGAGTTCTTTGAAGCCATTTTATGCTATTTTGCATAGGATTGATGTAGGAATTGTGATTGATTTAGAGCCAGCAAGAACGGAGGATCCTGCCCTTTCTATTGCTGGGGCAGTCCAATCGCAAAAGCTTGCAGTGCGTGCAATTTCTAAGCTACAAGCACTCCCTGGTGGAGATATTAAACTGTTGTGTGATACTGTGGTTGAGAGTGTTAGGGAGCTTACTGGATACGATCGAGTTATGGTGTATAAGTTTCACGAAGACGAGCACGGTGAGGTTGTAGCTGAAAGCAAGAGGCCTGACTTAGAGCCATACATTGGATTGCATTATCCTTCTACTGATATTCCTCAGGCATCGAGGTTTTTGTTTAAGCAAAACCGTGTTAGAATGATTGTCGATTGCCATGCTTCTCCAGTTCGTGTAATTCAGGCTGCAGGGCTTATGCAACCTCTTTGCTTAGTGGGTTCGACTCTTCGTGCTCCCCATGGCTGTCATTCTCAGTATATGGCCAATATGGGCTCCATTTCGTCGTTAGCAATGGCGGTTGTTATCAATAATAGCGACGACGAAGCTATTGGTGGGCGAAGTTCAACGAGGCTTTGGGGTTTGGTTGTTTGCCACCATACTTCGGCTCGGTGTATTCCGTTCCCTCTCCGGTATGCATGTGAGTTTCTAATGCAAGCATTTGGACTTCAACTTAATATGGAATTGCAATTGGCTTCACAGATGTCTGAGAAACATGTTTTGAGAACTCAAACTCTTTTATGTGACATGCTTCTTCGTGATTCCCCAACTGGCATTATTACTCAGAGTCCAAGCATCATGGACTTAGTAAAGTGTGATGGGGCAGCTCTTTACTATCAAGGGAAGTATTACCCTCTAGGCGTGACGCCAACCGAAGCCCAAATAAAGGACGTCGTGGAATGGTTGCTAGCTTTCCATGGAGATTCAACTGGTTTAAGTACAGATAGCTTGGCCGATGCTGGCTATCCAGGGGCAGCCTTGCTTGGTGGTGCAGTTTGTGGAATGGATGTTGCCTATATCACCAAAAGGGATTTTCTCTTCTGGTTCCGATCGCACACAGGAAAAGAGATCAAGTGGGGTGGCGCAAAGCATCACCCAGCGGATAAGGACGATGGTCAAAGAATGCATCCACGTTCTTCATTCAAGGCATTTTTAGAAGTAGTAAAATCCCGTAGTTTACCGTGGGAGACTGCAGAAATGGATGCTATTCACTCATTGCAGCTTATTCTTCGAGATTCATTCAAGGATAATGCTGCAATCAATTCGAAAGCCGTTGTGCATCCTCAACTAGGGGATCTCAACTTGCAAGGGATCGATGAGCTCAGCTTGGTTGCTAGAGAAATGGTCAGGTTGATCGAGACTGCAACTGCTCCAATCTTTGCTGTAGATGTCGACAGCCGTATCAATGGATGGAACGCTAAGATAGCCGAGTTGACTGGGCTTGCAGTCGAGGAAGCTATGGGGAAATCCCTAGTTCGTGATCTCGTGTATAAAGAATCTGAAGAAATAGTCGACAAACTCGTTTCCCGGGCTTTAAAAGGTAGGTAGCTCAGTTACTTATGAAGCTTTTTTGGTATATATTATAGTTGTTTTATAAATGCAGGTGAAGAAGAAAAGAATATAGAGATAAAAATGAAGACATTTGGGCGAGATCCAGATGATCAAAGACAGCCAATTTTTGTGGCTGTCAATGCTTGTTCTAGCAGGGACTACACTGATAACATAGTAGGCGTTTGTTTTGTTGGTCAAGATCTTACCTGCCAAAAAGTGTTCATGGACAAATTTATTAGCATACAATGTGATTATAAAGCCATTGTTCATAGTCCCAGTCCTCTTATCCCTCCAATATTCGCTTCGGACGACAATACGTGTTGCTCGGAATGGAATACCGCCATGGAAAACCTCACCGGATGGTCCAGAGAAGACATAATAGGAAAAATGCTAGTAGGGGAGGTTTTTGGAGATTGTTGTAGACTGAAGGGGCCAGATGAATTGACCAAATTTATGATTGTCTTGCACGGTGCAATTGGAGGGAAGAACAATGAAAAATTCCCCTTTTCTTTTTATGACAAAAAGGGGAAATATGTGCAGGCTCTCTTGACAGCAAATAAGAGGATGAATATGGAGGGGCAGATTGTTGGAGCTTTCTGCTTTGTTCAAATTGCTAGTCTTGAATTGCAGCAAACTCTTAGAATGCAGAGGCAACAGGAGAAGAACCGGTTTGTAAGGATGAAAGAGCTGGCTTACATTTGCCAGGAAGTGAAGAGTCCTTTGAGTGGTATACGCTTTACTAACTCGCTTCTGGAGGCTACGGATTTGAGTGAAGATCAGAAGCAGTTTCTGGAGACCAGTGTTTCTTGTGAAAAGCAGATGTTAAAGATTATAGAAGATATGGATTTGGAAAGTATTGATGATGGGTGAGTTGTTCTTTTAACAATTATCTATTTGACATCGTGAGGTCGTACATCGGTTGGAGAAGGGAACGAAACATTCTTTATAAGGGTGTGGAAACCTCTCCCTAGTAGATACGTTTTAAAACTGTGAGGCTGATGGCGATACGTAACGGGCTAAAGTGGATAATATCTGCTAGCGGTGGGCTTGGGCTGTTACGAATGGTATCAAAGCTAGACACCGGGTGGTGTGCTAGCGAGGACACTGGGCCCCTAAGAGGGGTGGATTGTGAGGTCCCACGTCGGTTGGAGAGGGGAACCAAACATTACTTATAAGGGTGTGGAAACCTCTCTCTAGTAGGCGCGTTTTTAAAACCGTGAGGCTGACGGGGATACATAACGGGCCAAAGCGGACAATATCTGCTAGCGGTGGGCTTGGGATGTTACAAATGGTATCAGAACCAGACACCGGGTGGTGTGTCAGCGAGGACGCTGGGCCCCCAAGAGGGGTAGATTGTGAGGCCTCACATCGATTGGAGGGGGGAGCAAAACATTCCATTTCTTATAAGGGTGTGGAAATCTCTCCCTGGTAGATACATTTTAAAACCATGAGGCTAATGATGATATGTAAGGAGCCAAAACGGACAGTATCTGCTAGCGGTGGGCTTGGGCTGTTACAAATGATATAAGAGCCAGACATCGGGCAGTGTGCCGGAAAGAACGCTGGCCCCTAAGAGGGGGTGGATTGTGAGAGATCTCACATCAATTATAGAGGGGAACGAAACATTTCTTATAAGGGTGTGAAAACCTCTCCCTAGTAGACGCATTTTAAAACCGTGAGACTGACAGTCATACGTAATAGGTCAAAGCGGACAATATCTGCTAATAGTGGGCTTGGGCTTGGGTTGTTACTGTCATAGTAATTTTTATGCTAAATTGTTTATTTTATGCTCGATCTTGCTACCTTTCTCCTGCTTTTTTGGATTTATGTAAACCATTCTCCTTTGACAATAACATGTCTTGAGAAGAGTAGCTAATGTTCTGATTTGTTTTGGAATCAGTACAATGGAGATTGAGAAGGGGGAGTTCTTACTGGGAAGTGTTATTAATGCTGTTGTTAGTCAAGCGATGTTACTACTCAGAGAAAGAAACTTACAACTGGTTCGTGATATACCAGAAGAAGTAAAGACTATGGCTGTATATGGCGATCAAGTGAGAATTCAACAGGTCTTAGCTGATTTCTTGTTGAACATGGTGCGTTACGCACCGTCTCCAGAAGGCTGGGTAGAATTACGTGTCTGTCCATTCCTGAAGCAAAACTCGGATCGACTTCGTCTCGCACACACCGAATTCAGGTACTTTAATGTTCAATCATTCTTCACAATATAATTGAGCTGAAGATATTGGAAGTTGAACAAAAAGAACATGATGTAAATGTTAAAAATCACGGACCTCTATAATGGTATGGTATTGTTCACTTCGAGCATAAACTCTCGTAGGTTTGCTTTTGGTTTCCCCAACAAGCCTCGTACCAATGGAGATAGTACTACTTATAAACTCGTAATCTTTCCTTAATTAGCTAATGTGGGATTCCCTCCCAACAATCCTTCTCTCGAACAAAGTACACCATAGAGTCTCGAGCAATCTCCCCTTAATCGAGGCTCGACTCCCTTTTTTGGAGCCCTCAAACAAAATACACCATTTGTTCGACACTTGGGTCACTTTTGACTACACTTTCGAGGCTAGCCTCCCTTGAGACCTATGTAGCTCTTGAACAACCCCCTTAATCGAGATTTGACTCTTTTTTTTGGAGCTCTCGAACAAAATACACCATTTGTTCGACACTTGAGTCATTTTTGACAACACCTTCAAGGCTAGCCTCCCCTGAGGCCTCTGGAGTCCTCGAACAACCTCCTCTTAATCGAGGCTCGACTCCTCTAAAGTACTCGAACAAAATATACCCTTTGTTCGACACTTGAGTCACTTTTGACTACACCTTCAAGGTTCACAACTTCGTTGTTCGACATTTGAAGATTCTATTGACATGGCTAAGTTAAGTGCATGACTCTGATACCATGTTAGGAATCATGATCCCTCCACAGTGGTATGATATTTTCCACTTTGAGCATAAGCTCTCATGACTTTGCTCTCGGTTTCTCCAAAAGGCCTCATACCAACGAGATAGTATTTTTTTACTTATAAACCAACGATTTTTTCCTTAATTAGCCAACGTCGAACTCCTACCCAACCGTCCTTGATAGTAAATGCATAGTTATTATGTTTCCTTGTTTCAACAATAGCATTAGTTCCATAAGCAAACGGCTAACATATGTTACTATGATGAAGGATTGTATGCCCTGGGGAAGGTCTACCTCCTGAGTTGATACAGGACATGTTTCACAGTGGCCGATGGGCGACTCAAGAAGGGTTAGGGTTGAGCATGTGCAGAAAGATTCTGAAGCTCATGAATGGTGAAGTCCAATACATCAGAGAATCTGAAAGATGTTATTTCTCGATCACTCTCGAACTCCCTTTAACAGAGAGAGCTCTCGGCAACATCGGTTAGCTTCTTTGACCATATACTCGTGTAGTTTTCCAGCCATTGTTTATGAGCAAAGCTCCGAGCATACACGTCGTCGTCGAAGCCATGTGATATAATTGGTAGGTGAATAAAGATTGTTTATGCTTGAGCTGAGAATTGTCTTGTTTAGTCTTGTTTATGTACATTACAACGTTGGGTAGATTATTTTTGCTTAGGTCTTGTAAAGTGGATAATTTGTTTTTTTTTTTTTTTTTTTTTTTTTTTTTTTTTTTTTTTTTTT